AGAGAGAGAGAGAGAGAGAGAGAGAGAGAGAGAGAGAGAGAGAGAGAAAGAGGGAGAGAGTGCCACATATTCACAGCTACTGTTGGGTGAACCTACAGGAAGTTGTTTGACCTTTGTAGGGAATATCAAATGAGAGACGTTTTGTTATGAGATGCTATAGAGAGATGCTATAAAACATTCTAAGATAGTCAGCCTCCTCCCAGAGCACAGAGAGACACTGGAAGGTAGACCAAAGGTCAAAGGTCAAAGATCAGATCAGCGTGCATGCGTTCTGCCACATTCAGACGTGTTTGGCAGCCAAGAGAAATGGCTGACCTTCCAACTATTCCCCTTCTGTGTTTAGGCCTCATTTTTGGTGCTTTCCCTTTTTTATATATATAAAAATACAAAACATAACAGCGAAAAGAAATCTGTTAGTTGCCCCATTTTCCCACTTTTTTTTCTTTCCAAACTGTTTCTTTTTTGTCGTTCTTTTTCATTGCAACATTTTTATTTATATTTTTTTTCTCCTCCACCAGTCTCTTACATATTGACAAAGTATACAATATCTTACAACTGAACAAGACTGAAAGATAACATTTGATTTGTCAAATCAGATACAAGGTCTCGTTCCTATATCCAATTAAAGAAGTCAACTGGAAGCTAGCCAGTATTAAGCAACGTAACAAGCCTATGGTGTGAAGGGAGCCGTCCAGAAGCAGCTCAGCATTAACACGAACAGCCGCCCTCAGGGACGGCCGGCTCTGGTGGTTTGTCCAGCTTGATGTCAATCACTGGGAATTTGCTGTTAAAGAAAATCACACACTGGAACTTGGATCATCAGTGTTAAATATGTAAATAAATGAAAGTTAATCAAACAGATCATCTATTTTAAAACATCTAATCAACTATTTGCATTGGTCTTTACATACCTGCTGTCACTTATCTTACAGCCACCATGTGGTGCTAAACACCATGCATCAGCTATCTCCTCCTGGCACTGTGCATTCCTTTTCTCTCAAGCATAAATCGTTTAATGGTTGATGCTTCTATATAGACAGAAGGACGGTCTGTCTGTTTGTGCTGCTGCCAGCATCCACTAAAAGATTAAAAATATGCTGGCCGGCCTTTCAGCCAACTTGGCTGGCACTAAAAACAAGAAAGGCTGTAAAGGATACTGCCTTCGGGGTTTGCATCATCCAGACTTTCCATCCCAGGTAGTGCAGCAGCGACTCGACGAAACAGCTGGAGAGAGAAACGTTAGACAAAAAGGCAGGACAGTTTTTTTTTTTAATTTAATTACTGATTAATTTTGAGGTATTTCTATCATCCCTACAATGTCCTAAAGTATTCTATCTCATCATTTTTCCCAGCGATTTAGGGTGTCATTAAACTGTCATAAGTACAGAGCAACAAAATTAATTCTCTGCATTTAACCCATCCCCTTGGCGACCAGTGGGCTGTCATTGTGTGATGCCCGGGGAAAAGTGTGGTGGTTAAGGGTCTTTGGAGCTTCGTGGGATTGGGGCTCAAACTCAGGACCTCAGGATTCCAAGTGCAATGCCATAACCACTGGGCTCCCCAAACGAGACATCAGCATGAAGGGTTTTGCCTAAGAACCCACACTGGAAGCTCATACGAACCCAGGCTTCCTGTTTGTCGGACTTACCACTTGACCTAGCCAGCTGCAAAGCTAACCAGCCGCACCTCCTCATCACTCTTTCTCTATTTAATTTCTTTTTCTACCTAAGCCTTAGCCTACCTACAATAATCCCAGCTGCTTTTTCTAAATATATCAAATGTATTAATTATAAATGGTAAATTTTTCCTTTATAAACTGTTTTGTGAATTAGAATAAATTAGTTAATAATATGGCCTTAACAAGGAGAACAAATAAATATTCTAAATAAACATTGACACATTTCACTCACTGAAACAAGCAACAGAGTAAAACATATAAGGGTTTATTTTCCACCTTTAAAGTTTACTGCGGATTTTTTTTTCTACTCATCTTTCAGATTTTTTTTTTGTTGTATACCTCGTTTTGTTATTTATGCTCAGTAATATCATGCATAATAAGGCCATCAAGAAGTACAGATGACATACTTTTTTGTAATTTAACTTTATTAATATTAGTATTTTATTATTTTAGTGTTTAATTTAAATTTCAGTAGTAAATTCTACTCCATTTTATTTTTAAATATAAAAACTGAACAATTCCCTGACCTAAGTTAACATGGTGTTATGAACTTGTTATAGAAAAACAGGCTTAACAGGTTAAATAGGTGAAACATTTGTGAGAAATAGTTGTTTAGGATATAACTAATTGAGACACCAATCATAGAATATTTTAAAAAGAAATCAAAATAAACGTCTTGGAGTATAAATGTGAAAGACTGGATCCAAACATTGAAATTAAATTGCTGTTTAAATATTAAAGCTCTAAGGTTTCTTTGATTTTTTTAATGGAAATTTTTTATTTTTATCTCAGGAATAGTCATTACTAAAGCAGTCTGGTTAAATAAAGCATTTTCGCAAGATATTTATGTAGGTATTTATTGTGAGCTGTACCTTTTTTTCCTTCTATAAGTTGACGAAATATAAAAAGTTTAATAGACTTTCTTGTTTATTGTTACTTTTTGTATTTCATCCCTTATTTGTGTGAATATCTTAGAAGGATTCAAGACATCAGTTATGTTACTTTATACTGTCTGCTATTATATGTGAAAAAACTGATGATATCTTTTATAATATGAATTAGATTTTAAGTGGCACAAAAAATGCAGTAAAAGGGGTGAAACTGTGAGGCTCACTTGTTTGACATTGGAGCCTGTCTTGGCACTGGTCTCGATGAACATGACGTTTAGCTCCTTGGCTCTCTGCTCTCCTTCTTCAATCGTGATTTGCCTGCAGAAAGGTCCAGCCAGGTTGGACATCTTAGGCTGAGTCATTCTCCTCTAATGTGGTGTTCTCAAAGGCCTTCCATAAACTACACTCAATGTTGGAATTAATAAGAAAAACAGCATGTTTACCTCTTCTCCTCCAGATCTGTCTTGTTGCCCACAAGCATGATGATAACATCACTTCCTCTCTCTGTCCTGACATCATCAATCCATTTGCAGGTCTGCTGGAATGAGTTTACGTCTGGGGAGATTAGAGCATCAACTTAAATGCTGCCCTCGTTGTGTATAAAACACTGAATTTTTATTTTTAAAATAGGGGAAAACCAGGGCTTACTTGTAATGTCATAGACAACCACTGCCACTGTAGAATCTCGGATGTAGCTAGGAATAAGGCTCCTGAAGCGCTCCTGTCCAGCTGTGTCCCACAGCTGCAGCCTTACCTGCATATGAATACACACACACACACACACACACAGACACACACAAACACACGTTCTCAGCAGCTGTTTGACAAAACTGTCAAACCCCACACAAAGTAAAACACAACTAAAAGCTTTTCCGAAGGATAAGCCCCTATCAGCTCATGTGCAGGCTGGCAGGGGGGATAATATCCCACGACAGAAATAGAATTTGCACAAGTTAAAGAAGATGATCCATGACTATAGCTTATTACAAAAAAAATGTGCAAAAGCTCTTACTAGGAGAAATAACCTTCAGATAATCATGTTAGAGCATAACGAGAGCAGTGATTAAGCAAATCAAATCAAGGATTAGTCAAAGCACAGTGGAAACTGGGACATTCAATGGTATTTGCAGGCGAAAAGTCTAAAAGTGTAGTATTTTTCTACATGCAAGTTTTAAAATGAGTTTCAGGGTTTCCTACTGTCCGGTCTTCCAGGTACATGGTCTTTGATAGGAAGTCGATTCCAATTGTGGCCTATAGGAAAAGATAGAGAAAGTTTGAAATATATTCCACAAATTAAAGTAATTACTTGTCCACAAACAATAAACAACCAAACTGAATTAAAATTAGAAAATATTGCATTTCCCAAAACACTCTTGGTGCTGAAACACTTTGCTACACCTTTTCATACTTCACAAAACCTAAATGTATTGACAAAAGAAAATGTATCAGTCTAATAAGGTTTAATATTTTATATTTTACATTTTAAACTAATATCATAATCATTTATTCCTTCATGAACTCATTTCCAATCATCAATCCTTAAGCACACTTACTGACCACATTTATATGCAATCAATACTTCCTTAAAAGTGAATATATAGCATCTATTTGTGAGAGCTGAGCCTCACCTGATATGTGTTGTCAAAACTGTCATACATGAATCTGGTGATGAGAGATGTTTTTCCCACTGAAACAAAAATATATCAAAGTTAATTTTTTGAGCCAAAACACATAATTTTTCCTCAAATGGTTTACTTAAAAGGTATCTTCTGAAAGAAGTATCCCAGGTGTAGTCATTTTCAATATTTATAATGGCTTCTTAGGTAAAAGCTGCTATTAATTGGCTCCAGATCAATATGTATCCTTGTTTGCTCATGGTTACCTATTAGTTTCCTTCTATTTCAAATTTTTGCTTGGAAAAAACATTATCTTACCAAATATTTGGTCACGGGGTTAAAATTTGATTTACAGTTCAATTTATTTAAGAACTTGGAAATGCACCTTGTGTCTATTTAAATATTCAAATTATTCTTAGTCTTTCACTTTCTAGTCATTTGGGTCCTTTAGCTCAGACTGTGACCTCTAATTAAACAGCAATAATACCATGTGACCTTCTGTTGGTTATTATTATTAGTGGGTTGAATTAACCACTTCCCTTGGATAAGGATCCTCCTGCAACATGTCAGGAAAAATGGAATGACATTTTACTCATTACATTTCTTACTGTTAATACTGTTAACATTACTATTGCTATCAACCTTATTTTGTCCTTTTTTTCCTTTGTCATCTACACAATGACACAACTTATCTGGTTGTATTTAACCATCTAAGTTACTCTTGCATCAAAACTGAACTTTGCAGGTGTAAAATAGCACAAACTAAATATACTTGGCAACTCTAGAGAAGACCGTTAGTAAATAATACATAATTACCTTAAATTAATCAATTTTAAAATGGGTACACAAGGTCTGCCTGGTTAGTACAAATCAGGGCATGTCGCCAAAAAGTGTCCTGCAGGTTTTTACCAGATGTGAATAACCACCCTAACGCATTTGCTTCCCCCGTCATGGTATGTTAACCCATTAATAACTTTCTGAAGGTATGCAATAGTTAGAGGTCTTCTATATTCTAAATAAAAGGATGTACAAAGCAAACAAACATATCCTGAGCTGAACGACAACCCTTAATTCCTAACAGCATAGGAAGAAAAACAATTAGGGAGAGGCAAATAAATTGAATCGAACTCTTTTTGCAAAAAGAAACAAAACTTACATGGAAAAAATCTACATGAAATAAAAAAAATGCAAAGACAACTGCAAATAAACAAGGACTTGAGTAGTTTTTATATGTTTTTTTTTAACAGCAAGAAGGAATGAAGGCAATTTAATTCAGAAAGTATTATTTTGCACAAATATGATGGCAAAGAGACTGCTGATTCCAAGGCTACTCTGTAAACAAAAACTGTTTAGGCCAGTTTAATCTATCCTTGCATCACAGAGCCAAAAAAACTAAAACAAAATTAAGAGCAGCATTTGATTAACCATGAACCTGTCTCTTAGACAGGATTATAGTACTGTTATCTAATAATTTATTTCTGGACACGGATTGGATATAATTTTCTTGTAATGTAAACTGAGATGACATGCAATGTTTAATATTTTTATATAAATCACATAGTTGAATTGGTCTAAAATGATCAGTCTTAAGACAACTGAGCTATCAAGATATTCAAGCACTTTTATATAGATGGGGCAGTCCTGAAGAACCAAAAGGCGCCCCTGTGCTTATTGATATCAACTTAGGCATCATTCAGAGAAACATTTTACATCAAATCACGCAATGAGTGGGGGATACAAGAATACTAGTCCAGCAGGCCTCTGTCCTCTCTCACAATAGTGGTGAAGCCTAATCGAAGTGATAGACCACACAGGCCCTTCTTCAGCACCATGGACAGCAACATTGCAGTACAGGCCACACAAACACACTCTACAGATGCTTTTAGTCGACACACTCAACCACAGATATGAATCACCCACACACAAAATGCTAGATCACAGTGAAAACACAAACCTGCTCCTCATTGGAGCTGGCTATCCCTTCTTTATTATTGCTTTTTATAGGATATCGACAAATGTTCGGCCACTTTGGGTGTCTATTATTTGAGCCCGTCTTCAGGCACCATTATCGATGTTCTTCTTGTGAATTTGTCCCACCACATCAAAGCAGAACCCTCCCCTCCCTGGATGAAAGGATTATTGATAACACAGTGTGATCTTTGATAGATGTCAAGTATTTTTTCTTTTTCGCTTTTTTTCCCCTGGATTTTTCACGGGACAGTGCAAGAGACTGCGTGCTTTGGAGATGCTACAGACATCGGCAGTCTAGGGTGTGTCCCGAACTGACACATGGGAGACTGTTATCCCTGCTGAAATTAAAAATTAAAACGAAAAAAGACTGAGGGTAGATATTAGTCACGGTCTATATTAAATGTTTATGTGTGACATATCAAGAGCAGAAGATGGAAATAAAATGGGAAAATGAGGAAGATTTTTCACGGTCACTGCAGTACATTAAAACATCGCCATTCATTCCCCCTGCTATGCTGTCAGTGAGGATCATTACATAGGCGATAAATTCACAGTCATGAGTCCTGATTTATTAGTTTAATTTAAACCTATGAGTTTTTTCTTCCTCTTTTTGTCTTCTGTTAATCTAATTATCGCGGTGCCACTGTTCCTGAAGGCATCGGCATCACAGGCTCCCAGGAAAACATTTATTACATTCACTTTAATATTTCAAGGTATCAATAAAGATGATTACATACTCTCATGCACACACATGCTCGACACCCAATCCTCCCCCTGATCACGGACTCACCGCTTTGCTCTCCCAAAAACACCAATTTGAATTTCCTCAGTGGGTTCCCCAAATCTGCTCCGCCTGACATGGTGGCAGATGAAAAGCCTCACTTGGGTTATATTTTACGTGTTTTATTCCTATTTTTCTTCTTTAAAGGCCCGTGACTCCCTCTATGCTGTGGCTGCGCAGGAGAATCCTCCTCTCCTCAGAATGGTGGGAATGCAGCTCAGCGTCGTCCTGTCAGTTCAGGGCAGCGTGTGCGCTTGCGCGACCTCACCTCTTTCAAATCCCTCACCTTTCCGTCCGTATTCATGTTCCCATCTTCCTGCCTGAAGATGGGAACATATCAGGGTTGATAAAAGTAAACATATTGATCTTGATAACAAACCTGATATTATATACGTTGCTCTTAATTAAGGGTCGATTTTAAAGTTAAACTGGTGTAATGCAGCCTTCTGAGGGTAGATGCATCTTTAATGATTAATCATGTCTCCTAAAATATGACTTCTTCATAAATACCAAGACAATTAATCAATGATAATATATATATATATATATATATATATATATATATATATATATATATATATATATATATTTTTAAAAGGTTTTTTTTTTTTTTTTTTTTCTCTTTCTGAAATATATTAGCTTCAACTGTCTATGGTGCTCTAACAAAGTGGAAGTGACAGGAAATGCAGCAACTCAGTAATGAAGTGGTAGGTCATGTAAATGACTGATGACTGAGGCAGCAGATTCTGATGAGAATAGGAAGCATACAGGAAATGGAAAAGTGTACTCTTTATAAAGTGTTTTGAAATCACATGTGTTGTGAATTGCCTCTATATACATCAAATTGAATGGAATTGATTTGAACTGAACTATTGTGCTATGACTAATCTTTGATGTGGTGTCAAATTTTCAGAGGCTGGGCTTTACTACCTAAATTCTAATGAAAACAAACTTGAATGCTTCAGCACACCGATAAAACTAATTAATGTTTTCAATTCCATGACTTTATGGAAATAGTTCGAAAATGACCCTTTTTTTCTTCCAACATGACCACTAGTGCCTCAAACAAGGTCTATAAAGACGTGGACAAAAGAGCGTGGTGTTAATGAGTTCACCTAGCCTGCAGCATCCTGGCCTTTAACCATTTAAAACATCCTCTGAGTGAGTTACATCAGAGACTGAGAGCCAAGCCTTCTCTCTCAACATTAGTATATGACCTCACAAATGCACTTCCTAAGAGAATTGTCAACAATTCCATAAACACAAATCTACATTTTTTGGACAGCCTTCCTAAAACAATAAACTGTATTATAGCTACAAAGGATGGACTAATGTCAATACTGAACCGCTAAGAATGGGATCTCAATCAAGTTTTCATGCAAGTCAAGCCATGTGAAAGAATAATACCACCGATATGCTATACATAAATTTGGCTTTCCATCTAACCCCAGTGTCTTTTTAAAGAAAATGTTCTTAAACTGTGCTCAAACTGGAAATTGCTAACAAAGGGAACATTGTGACACAATGGTTATTCTTTATAGGGAAGACAAAACATAATTGCTTAGTTTTACTGTTTACTACTTGTTGTGCATGTACATGTACAATAATGAAAGTATTTGGAAATGAAAAGGCCTTTAAGCTACTCACTAAAAGCTTTTCCACAGTTTATTTAGCATAGAATGAAATAGGGTGCTGTTATTTCAAAGGCATCTAAATTGTGGCATTTGCCGTCATTTATCCTATCCCATAAATCAAATATTGTAAAACTTGATTTATGACATGATCTTTATTATTTCCTTGGACATTAATGATATCTGTATCCCATGTTTTGTGTGTATAAAAAACCTAATACTTAATTCTAAATGATATTCATAAAAATTCTTTTTAAGTTGCAGAAGCTACTAGATGGTGAACATATCTGTAAAACACCAGTCTCTCAGTAAATTATATTTGCAAAAATTAGTTACCAACGAGACTTTCTAGGTATTTTATCCATCTCTTTATTAAAACAAGCACATCAATGTTTTTGTTTAGAAAACATAAAATCTAAGCTCAGTGTTCAAACTGAAACAGCTCTGCTTCTTTTTCTTTCCAGAAAGCAAAACTGCGATCAATATATGTACATATATCTTCATTGTTGAAACAAGAAAAGTCTGCGCAGCTGCCGCTCTCCTCGGGAGTTGCATTTTGCACTATAACCTTGGGCAATGGTTTAAAGTCTCTCAACGATGATGATGATGAACAGTCACATGGTGTTGATTCACCGAAAAATTTAGTCTTAAGGTCTTCAAAGCCGTCGCTCCACTGTCGCCTTCCAGCCTGAATTTCCTGAAGAACGGCTTTGTGGAAATCCCTCACCTTCTCCCAGGGGAAGAAGCTGACATGGTCGAAAACCTCGAAGCAGAGGAGATGTCTCATCTTTCTCTCCTCAGCAGACAAATCTTGCTCTAAGATGTGGAAATAACCCAGCATGAAGAGGTTGAGGGTCAAGCTGTCATGGCTCATTGCAACTCCATCCACTTCTGGCAAGAACTGCTCTGGAGAGTACGGCACATCACAGTTTTGTGTATTTTTTGAGGAGGCCATGTTGGATTTCAGAGAATACTGTAACTCCAGTTTATTCCTCCAGGAGTTAAGCATTTTGTCGACAGCACCTCGTTGTTGGCAGAACCGGAACAGGGAGTGGGCTTTCTGTTTTGGCTGTGCTGTGGTAGCGCTCCCTGATGCAGCAGATGCTTCCTGTCTCTGCCTTGCTGCTCTCATTGAGATGGCATATGCAGACTTCTTCCAATGGCTCAGGAATAACACAACTATCCGCTCCTTTCTTAAGCTGGCAGTCTCCATCACAGTTTCATTGCTTTTAGGCACACTAAGATGACTGTTGACATCCTCGCTTTTTCCAGCCGATGGTCCGACCCAATTCTTACCCTTCATCCGCTGTGCTCCATGTACAACTCCCGCAAAGGGATAAATGCTTCCAATCTGACCCTCAAAGTTGGACCTTAGGTTTTTTACTGACACACCAGACTGCTGAATCTCCCTCTCCACCCTCTCTCTCTGTTCTCTACTGTAGCTGATGCTCTCTAAACGGTGGCTGAAAGCAGATGCCATCCCAATATGGGGTATCCTGCATCCGCTGGATGTCACCATAGGTGTAGGCTCCTTCCCTATGCTCTGTTGCATCAATCCTGAATCCAAATCGATTTCAAAAGCCGTTTTATTTTCCTGCAAACCCTTCATGTCATCAACCACTCCTCCCACCACTCCCAACTCGCTTCCTTTTCCTTGTGTCTTAGTCAAACTAGCCACCAGCAGGGACATGTTCTTTACTATCTCTGAGATACGATCACACCAGACAGGTAGAGTCAGGTGCGTTTTTCCCTCAGAGTCCATTTTTTGTAGCACCTCCCTGTTGAGGGAAATATTCACAATAGGATCGGGTAAAATTGCCTTTAACTCCTCGGTTAGCCTGGTCAACTCCAGCTCATAGGCCTGGCAGCGTTTCTGCAGAGAAACAGACTCAATTTGCTGCTGTAAGTAAATCAGATCTTCGTCTGTTAGCAGCTCACCAAAGGGCCCTAGTATAGCATTGTGAGTCTGGGAGTACTTCCAGGAATCCAGTGGCGTAAACTCATGCAACGAACCCTGTGAGAGACACAGAAATATTGTACAGTTCTGATAAGTGATTTATTTTAATAAAAGTTTAACATATCTATTTGCGTGATAATATTTTGCACATACTACATGTAACAATTTTACACATACTGTATATGTGCTTTAAGCTATAAAGATGCAAAACTGGCAGATCAACACCTCAAATCATTAAACCTAAAGGTCCTAATCCCTTCCATGGTCTCACACTTTATGACTCCTTCTACAAATGCTTCAGAGAAAATAGTTTCAGCATAGTACTGTCATAAAAAGCCAGCTATGCAATAAGTCCACTAGTGGTTTTTCCTTTGACTGTTTATTGTAGTATGTGAGTGACAGTGGAAGCAACAGCAACTCAGCCACAAACTAAAACAAGTAAGATCACAAAACATTATTTAGCCTTCAGATTAGCACAAGTACTATCTGAAGAGAGCTTCATGAAGTTTCTATGGCCCATCAAATGCATACGCATTTGTAAGGCTATTTGTTTGACTTTACCCCAGAGTATCAGAGACATATTGTCTGGAAATCAAATCTTTCTGTCAGGTAATCCAGTGGACAAATCTCAGGGTGGTGGTTTTCCATTGAAAAGGACCTGCCTGACTACACTGTGTCATTTTGTGTCGTCAGGATAGTGGTGACACACTGTTCTTTAAAAAAATAAGCTGATACTTTAGCCTCATTGAAAGAAATATGCAAGGCGTTAGCCTTATTTGGTTGTTTATAGATTTCATTGTTTTCCTGCCTTGACCATGTTCTATTTTTGGCATAAATTGAGGGAGTACCTGTTTCGCCTCCACCTCTTCATCTTGCATCCTGACCTGCAGCTGCCTCACCATCACCTGTCGTTTCCATTCTGGTATGGGGCGTCCAGCTTCATCATGGGTTGGCACCAGGGAGTCAATGTCAGCCAAGATAACGTTGACACTTGGTGACTCCTCCTGCACCTCTTCGCTGTCAAACCACTGTTAGTGTATTTAACACAAGACAGAGTTACACCACTGATCAATGGATCTTTTTCTTCTTTTCTGACAATTTTTTTAATGATATTTAAATTTTATTTTAGATAAAACAAGGATTCTTTCTATTAAAATTAAAATATTTTTCAGAAAACATTCAACTGATTTGAACAGCTTAAAATATTTAGCGAAATAAAAAATCTAAGATAGATTAATTTTATACAATATAGGGTTATCCAGCATCCTATATAGATATATATATGTTAAGAACAACATTTATTTATTCAGTTTGTTGTTTTCTGTGTTTTTGATTCACATCTTGTAGAGTCTCAATAGCCTACAGTATAGTTTTTGCATCATCTTCATACTTACACTGTTATCTGTGCATCAATTTAATCAAGAGGTGTTAATGTAGCCTAATTCCAGTGATTTCATATTTAATTTATACTCTCAAACTATAACCTAACCAATGACCCCTTATTTAATAACATTTCAGAAATTGTTTTTTTATCACATTTTTTTATTCTTTGCATATCAACTTTGAAAGCTGCAGTACGCGTTTCCATGTTTTTTGTGGGTGCCTTTTATTAGCTTACAGCTTTTGGAGAGGGCGCAGAGTTATTAAAAGCCTTTGATTTTCAAATCAAATACATAACAGTTTTTATTTTTTTTAGAATCCTGTCTGTCTGTTCTTTTGGCCAGAACATATTTTCATTCGGGATTGTTTTAATGTTTAGGAGGGCATTACATTCATTTGAGAGAAAGCACCGCATGACTCACAGTTTGCCCGGTAAAGACTGCAGTTAAGCCGGCGTGCTTCAGTGATTTAATAGGCTTCATCTGAGACATCGGCGTGAGGTCCCTCTCTGGAGGCCTCAGGTGATTGAAGGATGTCACCACTGTAAACAAATACAATAAAGGTGAAATGTCATCCTCAAAAGGTTTGAAGAGATATGGGGGAGATTTATATATGAAATATAAATATGTGCATTCAAATATTTTTTATTGTCTTAGTTTTTTCTTGCAGTTTTCTGTTGCTCCTCCGTCAGTTTAATAAACTAATTTGGGATTGCTAAAGAAATTAACTTGGCATGTAAAATAATGACTGTTTGGAATTCTCTGTTTTTTGTAGGGTCAATATCTGCACTACCTGAATATTTGCTGCCTGTAACTAGTTTCCTTCTCAAGATTGCAGTCCAATTAAGCTGCAGTCAAGCTCTAATTAACACTGAGAAGCTTCCGCTCTGAAGAAAAGCATGCTTACAGCAATATGCTGCCACCACCATGTTTTAGCAAGAGTAAATAGTGTTGAAGCTGATGTATTGTGCCAGTTTTACAACAAAAGTACATTTTGTATGAAGGTAAAAATAAAAATGATGGTCTTTGTATCATCTGACCTATAGCTTATTTTCATCAATTTCTTATGAATATTTCATCAGAACCTTATTTGTTGACTTTAATGGTAGTATTTTTGTTGTTGTCGACACAGTTTCCCACTTGGCTTTTTCATTTTAATAATACCCTGTGAGTTTTTTTAAAGTAGGAGGCTTAAATCCTTGATTATCCAACACATGCTAAAATATTTTTTTTATTCCACTACGCAATTATGCACCTCTTTATGTTGCTTTGTCATAAGAGCAAAAGACGATCCACAGAGATTTCTCGTTGCAACAAAATGTAAAAATATCTCTTTGCTGATTACCTGAAGAGGCCAAGTGAACATGCTGGATGGACCCTGTAGCTGGTTTTTTGGAGGAGGCAGCAGCAGTTATAGAGGTGGAGGTCAAAGGAAGTGGGCTGGGATGGCGTGGCAGGGGGAGAACCTCTTTTACAGGCTGCTGGGGAGACACTGCAGGGATGAGCAATGGTCCAAAGGACAGCTTGGCCAATATAAATGCATGTTTTAACCTAAACACATGGAGTTTACACACATTTTTTTCTCTATGTTTAATATAATCTATATTTCCAATCATCTGGTTCCAAACTATTTTCCTTAATTCAAACTAAAGGTAAGGTTTTACACAGCACAGCAAAACAATCTGTGACTTCAATCAAATACCACCATATACCCTGTTCTTATACACTTTGTTTTTCCCTCCTTTCAGATGAATTTTATTTCAGATCGATGGTCACCTTGATGTTCTCCATTCTCATACTCCAATTTCACACTCTGGTAGCTCCAAGAAGCAGCAGTCCCTCTTTCTAAAAGACAATATAACATGCAAAAAATGACCTCCATATGCTGCAGAAATGTGAAGTAACACATATCCGTGAGCATCTCCAAAGCAATCAGCATGGACAGTAATGCTGCCTAATGGCAAACACACACTGTGTTAATGCGAGGACATAGGCAGCAGCCTGTCGTGCTTGAAACTAAGACAGGAAGTGGTGAAACTGGAGCCTGGACCATGGATATATAGCAGCACCCAACAGAGAGCAGGAGAAAGCATGAGAGAGATTTTACAAATCTAACATGTCGCTTTGAAGACTAAAACATAACATTTTATCCACTGCTTGCCATGCCTAAATCATTGTTTAGAGATTGAATATTGTGAAGAAAAAAGCAGAAATTTATATTTGCTGAATTGTTCCTCTAATATAGATGAATGGAAAACATTCATTGCTTGAACAGTTTCTGAAAATATTGTCGTTAATTTTTTCTGTGCTGGTTTCCTTTCATACCTCATCCACCAAGGCAATAACAGCAGAGAAATTGCTTAAAATTGACAAAACAACCACCTTTCTTTGTGTATATCTGATAACAGAAAGTGGCACTTAAAAGTTTTTTTTTTTTTTCAAAAATGCATTAATCTTTTTTTGTGTGTGTAAGTGAATCAATATCATTAAAATGAAGCAATAACTTTAAGCAAAATTCCAATCATACTTACATTTTGTTCCCCTGTAGCGTAAAGAGGATCCCTAAAGCCTGCAAAAAAACCTAAAGACTAAGGAGGACTGAAAAAAGACTTACAGTACGTCCTCCTCTTTACCAGAAGCCAATAACCAATAAAGTCAATTCAGCAGCATCAACTCGACCCAAACCTCAGACAGGGGGGCCTCTGAGTGTGCATAATTAAAGCAGTGGGATAGGATGACTTGGAGCTAGAACTATAGAAACGATAGCTGTGTGAATGTATGTGGGGACAAAAGCTGTAGGTTACTGAGCACACATGATCAGATTGTTGGTGCATAAAGGATGCCAATCAATCTGCACGCCCTTTCCACGGCTTTCTGCTGCATGCTCCTTAAAGCTAGTAATAAATCTGTTTATATTTGGTTTGCTTTACTTTGGCGACCTCTACTGGTGGTCAGATAAGCACAGAGAGAATTACTAAACGGGCACCATTTTGTGGCTGGTTATAGTGATGAACTGAGACAGCAGTGAATCTAAAGAGATAGAAGAGGAATAGTTTTACCAATATATTTCAAATTGGAATCTTTTTCCATTTAATGTTGTATCCAATATAATCTATACATTTATAAAAACAAATCAAACTGTAAAGTCCTTCTCTTAAGACTCTTAAGAGTCTGTTTTTGTGACAGTTTGCCAATAAAATAGAAATCTGACTGATCCCTCTTCATTGGTTTTTAACATTTTTTTGTTGTTGTTATAAAACAAGCCATGATCATGATTGTTTCATGGGTCGCCATAAGAAATGAAAAGAAAGATTTGGTATTTTTATGACATATGCACTGCTGACCTTCTGTTTGTTAAGGTGTGTTTCATATTGAGCAGCAGAAATCAACCCTCAGCAAAGGAACTACATTTGACTTGGTTGTTAAAGCTGCAAAGGAATCCAAAGTACAATTTAAAACTCAGATGGAAGAAATTGTGGATAGCTCAAGAAATGTACACTAGTTTATTCATATGTAAATAAATTATGTCACAGTTACAGAGCTTAGTTATTCATTTTCAGTATTTAAGCGTCACCTGAATCTTTTTATTTTATTTTTTTTAGCACATTTAGCTTAAAACTTTTGCATACCAGACCTAATTTACCAGCTATTATGCCTAATCTTATTAAAGTCAACCTAATACATAAATTGCATGTAATGGCAGATGCAGGAAGAGAAACACGAGAGGCCTCTGGATTAGTCCAGGGCCTCTTTGTGTCAAGCCTAGTATTCCTGGCTCTGGTAATGGGACTTTAGTGTTACTGTGTTGCAGCAGAGAACATGGTGAGAATCCAATCAATAATAGAAGTCCTGCAAAGAGGCAGCCACACAAAGGCTGGCACGTGTTCACCTGGAGAAACAGTACAAAATGTTATAGAACAGATACAAGAAGAGCCATGATCTGTTAACAGGGTGGCTCCATCTGCACAAACTCGATCATTTAGAACCTTATTATGGAAGGCAAAATCTTTCACAACCCAAAAATACCTTAAATGTAAAACATTATCAACAGCATTTCATGATAGAGATATTAGCTGTTTTTTATTGGTGACATATGAATAACTTACGCAAAATTTATTTTATTGCCTTGGTAAATAACTTTATGTTTATCCACAGTATCTACTTGGAGTAAAAAAACTGAAAGTGCAAGAGACCATATTTTGACCTGTTAGGAACTCTGGACTTGAAAAATATTAAAATGTCCTTATTCTTTAAATTTTCCTCATTAAGTGTGAATATAAACTTGAAAAAATGACAAAAAATATCAGACACACATATTGCACAAGTTTTAACACCCATTTATTTATTTATTTGCCATATTTTATTTATTTGACAATAGTTGTTATGTGTCCACAGACATGAGAAAGAACTGGAGAACACTCAAAAGATAAATGTGAGCACTGTGTTTAGGCTGAGACCTGTCTCTGCTTTTGTCAAGTGATTCCAAGCAAGTGCACTAATCTTGGACCACCTCCCAGTATTAACATAAAGACCTCATCCACACTGAGTGAACAGGTGCAAAACAGATCCCTGATCTGTACTTTTCATTCTGCTGGGATACTTGACAAAGAGGGAGACATATTTTTTCATCATAAAACACAGGAAAATGGATTATCTGTGTGATGAGACCCAAAAAGGAAATCTCAATTTATATACAAGACAGAGCCAAGAGGAAGGGTTCCAGTTAATTGTTACAAGGATCATGAATAACAATACTTTACAAGCAGCACTTCTGGAATGGAAAGCTGTTGTCATTAGCAAGTTGTAAGGCAGGAGAGAAGGACAGGATTCAACGAAGAAAACAAGACCAGCATGCTTTGATCCAAAACCATGACATATGAAGCAAGCCGGATAAGAAATTTAACAGTTTCAGAATTGTCTCAGAAATTTTAACATGAAACTCTTTAGCTACTTGAACTAGATGCAATGCAAGCTGCCTACTTGGAAAATAAGTACTTGTGTGGCGGGTTTTTGTTCGTTTGTTCGTTTGATTTTCTTTTTAAAAGACTATGACAATAATAAAACAGTGAACAATGCATCATTAAAGATGCATTGTGTGCATATAAATTGGCAATGCAGAACATCCTATGTTCCAAAAAGCTGAATTTCATCATTCGATAGACAACACAAAAAAATAAAAATGCCAAACAGAATGTTTGCTCAGTGGCACCATATATTTTAAAACACGACCAGGTAGACTTTGACTTTCACAGTGTCAGGTTGCATTGCTCAACAGGTTGGCTGGCCTGTTGCACGCAGTCACTTGTTTACTGGCTATAAGTCAAGTTTGCCCACAGTCTGGTCCTGGCAGGAAAAAAAGGAAAGCAAGAGCTACACTGAAAAGGCAGACTGGCTGGCTGACCAGAGCTGTGATCAGAGAGGTGCTTTATATCATCTGCAATAATAAATGCCATTATAGGTTGTCATTTTGGCCTCTCATGTTTTTATTCTTATCTTTCACTAGGCCCTCTTGGTACAATACAAAATGGTCACACTAACAATAAAGAATCTCTCAACCTAAAATTAGTTACTACAGCAGCTAATCATGTATTAGATAACTGATATTTAGGCTGCAGTGTGGCTTTAAATCTAGTAGGTCCGCTTATAAAGACAACATTGTCAGCTTGTTCAGTGTTTAGAGGTTAATTGATATTAAGCAGACTTGAAAAATCAAAGAAAAACAAAATATTACAGATAATGCTAATATATGTGAAAGCTTAACTTTAATCACTTGTCATTAGATGTTGCGCTGCTATATAAGGTTATGGGGAAGGAAGAAGAGGAAGTAAGGTGGAAAAAAAGGAGGCACTATATGGTGCAAGATACTTTAAACCAATTAAAGGTCCATGTTTATACACCAAACTATGTCCTTTGGGTTGGTGTTTTTGCTCAGAGAATAAATGTTATACTTTGTTTTAATGTATGGACTTCTTAGACTGAGGTGTTATTTTTGTCTTAATTTGAATGGGAAGCTTTACTAAAAAGACAGTAAGCTTTGAAAACAAATGTGTGAAAGTCACACAAAAAAATACATTTTATAAAATTCAGCTTGTGATCATCTTAGCTTTCCATTTGTCTTTAGAGTTAAGTCAATCTTTCTCTAGTTTCTTGCTTATTATGAAAGCTTCAGTGTTATGTTCTAATTTTCTACATTAGAAAATAAACTAAATTTCTGAACATAAAAAGTGCATCTTAAAATAATACCATTCACACTCGTTGACATATATGCAAAACATAATCTAACGCAAAATGGTGCTTTGGTTTAAATAAAACAATAAATCATAAATATATAGACAATAAAGTGCCAAGCAACAAAACTGTTAGTGGTCTTGTCACAAATAAATAACATTGCAGAAGACTTACAATAGCAACATCATGGGGAGTGCTTTAAAAAAAAAAGCAAGGAAAGGAAACAGTTCTCTCTCCTTACAATGAATTATTTTGCCTTAGTTTAGCCAATGAATCCAGTTTTCATGGAACTACTTAGAGATACGATACAGGAAGAACACACTTTCATCCTAACATATCTGTCCTCATGCTACTTTTGAGCTTAAATAATTAGAAAAATCAGTTTTCCCTCTTTGCCATCTGATGTTTATGAAGTGAAGAATTTCATGCTGCATCAAGCAGATCCAAACTGAGGTATTTTACACTATAAGTATGACGTATATGAGGCTATCATCCCCACACTGTACACAGGTCTACATAAAGAAGAATCCAGTCTGATGCTTTTCCTTTGCCTTCCTGATACAATAAGTGGTTAATGTTTGTTTTACTACAGGGATGTACTTTTAGTAATGATAAAAGAGGAACAGGTCACATCTTTTTACAGCAATCTAGCAGTCTTACAGATAACATATTCCTACAAGTACATTAAAACTAATCAGAATAAGTCCCAAATATCCAGAAGAACTAAGCTGATAATCAGGTTTGATTGGTTAGTTTTCCTTATAAACTGTTCTAAAGTTCAAAAGGGAGCACACCATGCATGGTTGGAGGAGAGGACTGCAAAAACAGACCAAGGATGTTTTTTTGTTATGGGGCAGCGCTGGTCATCATATCTATGGAAACATTTGCTGTAAGGTTTGCATTCATCAGAGCAGAACGCTGACATGAGCTTTAAGATTGTTTGTTCTTTTGCAGTTTGTCCTCAAGGCTGGTTCACCTTTTAGAGCCGCTGAGCAGCCGGGAGCGACTGGACTGACTTTCTTCTGGAGAGCTTTGACCTGAAGGAAGGAAGCAGAGTTATAAATTATGTGTATTGAGTATCTAACTGGTTTATAGCATTTCTTATCCTGTTAAATAATACATTTCCAAAGAGTTAAAAGAAAGGCATATACAATGTCACAGAAGTTACTGTTTGCAAACTAGTGCTAAAAAAATGTTAATGTAAATATAAAAAGGCTGCCATGTCACACTCCGGAAGGAGAAACATACTCATTTAGCTAGGTTCATTCAGAGGAAATACAGAGCAGAATTAGATAAAATTAAACTGTATTCCAAACTGAGAGCAAAATCTTTAGCAGATTAAAGTTTTAAAAAATTGGGATTAGAGGAAAGGTTCTTGGTTTCATCCTTTTTTTTTTTCTTTTTGATTTTTTACGGCACTAGTGGCTCGTTTTTTTTGTTTTTTTTTTCAACAGTAGGCTGACAGGAAAGGGGGTATGAGAGAGGGGGAGAGACATACGGGAAAGAACCACAGGCCAGATTTGAA